CGGTGGAGTTCGCCTGCGTGGCGCGGAGGAACTGGATGAAGGAGCTACCGCACTGGGAGCACTGTGGAGCTTGCCTCGGCCCAAGCAGCTGATCCACACTGGCGATGCACTGTGGCGATGCAACTTTTCAAACAAAAAAACTGAAAGTGTCATTGCTTTCGTGTGCGTGTGAGTGTGCAAGTACTTATTTGCAGGGTCCCGTGGTGTAGACATATCGTCTCTGAATGCAAGTGCAAGGGCATGCAGATGGTCTCACGCACTTTCCAGCCACCCCCTCATGCTTTGCCTAAAGTAACACAACCAATGTACATGCAGACATACGGACATTCATGCATAAGTACACACATGTACACGAATTGCACACACACAACTACAAAAACGGACGCGTATGTACATACATACATACATACATACATACATACATACATACATACATACATACATACATACATACATACACACACCCCTACCTACAGACAGACTGACAGACAGACAGGCAGATAGACAGCACACGCAGGTACGTCGCTACGGAGGTACGTACATACAGAAGCAGGCGTGCACGCACGGACCTACGCACCTACGCAAGTATAGCTACCTACCTACCTGCCTACGTACCCATCGACCTACCTACTTACCTATACATGAACGCATACAGCACACAAGCAAGTGAAGGTGTATATATATATGTATGTACGCTTGTTTGTTTTTGTCCGTATGTATGCTTGTATGCTTGTATGTTTATACGATTATATGTAAGTGCACATGTCTGTCTCCGTCTTGTGCACTCATACATGCAAGGGTGCAGCTTTCATGTTCGAATAAGAAAGGCCAGAAGCAGTTTGTGTCCACATCGCTATTACAAAGTGAGAGCGGATTCTGAAAGCATTGTTAAAATATAGGAGTTGCATGGTCCTGCAATTCCTCATGGGGCAGTAGCTAGGGAAATGTCAGCGTTTTGTGAGGCAGGCGGGTTAACATGGCAGCGCTGCACGTGCATAATCTATAGTGACTCCAGTGTAACGAACAAACATGCATGGCAAGTGGCCCATTTCCTGCATAGAAGAAGATACCACACTCAAAGCAGAACGCGTGATCCTGCCATGGCAGTAGCACTCAGCATACTGGCGAACATGCAGGAATGGCTGGTCGATAGCTGCAGCAGCGAGCAAACTCAAGCAATGCGATCAGAATCCCCACCGCATCCGAAACTGTAGCAATCAAACCAATGCTACAAACGCACTCCGTACATCTGGCGTGTCCATGGCGATGCATGTTCTGCAAGGGGGACGATTTCTCGCTAGGCTCATGACCACGTCTTTGTCACTATCTGTTCGGCTCTTTCGGTTTGGCTGCTCGGAGAACAGAAGCTCATCGATCAGCCCCGCTCCTGAATGTTCTGCGGCACCCGACTGGTAATCGTGTCACCTACCAGAAATCTCCTGGCGCCGAAGCGAGCCACCTGGCACACAGCCAAGCTTAGAGGAGCGCCCGAAAAGCAAGGAACAGGACCCGAGGGTTTTGGGCGGAAGATTTGAAGATATTGGTGCAGTGTCAGGGAAGTCCTGATACAGAGACAGAAAACAAATATGGTATGTGTGTGTGTGTGTGCGTGTGTGTTTGTGTGGAAGGACCGACAGACAAATGCAAGACGATCCAGCCTCTTGCATTGTGATCTTGAGATGAAGACAGCAACATAGAGGTGACATCATAGAACTCTCTATGCTCTAAACCTAAACCACCATATGGATATATGTAGATATGTACATATTGACCCATGTGTATATATATATATATAGAGAGAGAGAGAAGAAATGTGTACATATGTGTATATATACACACATACATAGATACATACATGTTGACACTTACATTTACAGCTACATTCACATTCACATAGGTACTTATACTTGTTAGTTATATACCTGTATATATGTAAATATATATATATATATATATGTTCCATAAACATATACATGTACACATACTTATGCGTATACTCGCTATACTTCATACTTCATGTTTGAGACTTCATACATAAACAACCACTTATACTTGTACTTACACTTGTAATTCTGCTTGTACTTATACTCATACTTATGCTTATACCTGACATACTTGTACTTATACTTGTACTTTTACTTGTACTTATACTTGCAATTATAGTCGTGCTTATACTTGTCCTTATACTTATACTCACAAACTTATACTTGCGTGTATACTTCTACTTCCACTTATACTTGTACTTATTCTTGCACTTATACTTATACTTCTACTTTGCTTCTACTTTTACTTGTTCTTCTACTTTTACTTCTTGAAGAATCGCCGTCTAGAGTCTAGCCCAATCATCTTTTATCATAGTCATGATCACCGATTCGTCCAGTGATTTCGAACAGGCACCGCTAACTCCTGTTCCAACACATCATGCCACTAAATAGCACTAAAACAAACACATTCATGGCAGTCACACCGATAGTCCACACTAATTTGCTGACCAAAGCCGTCAGCATCCGTATCCATGGACCATTTACCCTCTTTACCCTCGGAAACCTAAGCTCGTGAAAACCTAAAACACATGCCAATAATGCCCCGAAGCCATAAAGCTAACGGCATTGGTGTGTGCATGAGGTGATTGCTATTCCTAATGGGCCACACCATTACGACTACTACCAGTATCACCATTATAAGAAAATCTGCAGGACCCTGAACCCTAAACCCTAAACCCTAAGCCCGAAAAAAAACCTACGTCAACCTTAATTAAATTGAGCTCCTTTGGTCGGGTTTAGGGTTTAGGCGACAGGGCTGGCCCCGGAGCCTGGCGCTCGCCAACGGAACCGGCCAGCCTCGAAAGCCATCCAAACGTGTATTTATCTTGAGGCCCTCTTGGAGCCCTAGATCCGTAGCAGCTTTGGGCCGAGGGTTTGAAGTCTATCGATTTTGTTTGCTACTTGAGGTTTTGGCTGGAATTTCAGACTAGGTTTTGCAAGAAGCTATCTCTCGGGGCAAGCTTGGACTTCGATATTATTACAGGTTGTTGCCGAGCGATCTTGTGATTAGGCCTAAATTAGGCCTCATTGGACGGGTGAGCCTCCATTCCGGCAAGAGGTCCGATCTGTGGCTCGAATATCCGACTGCCTCTCGCCGATTGAGCTCCCAATAATGCACAGTGCCAAGGGCCCCATGCCCTGAAGCAGAGCTGCAACAGAACATGAAACACGGCCAAGGGACACGCATCAACAGAACAAAACTCTGAACGCCGCAAAAGCCCAAAACCCGGAGACACAAGCTCCCTAACAAGACGACGAGACCGACGAGCCGACTCTAAACACCCGACCTTGAGCTGTGGCTTCGCCGTGGCACTGAAACCTGTTTCAGGAGCATTTGAAGTTCAGGGCTCGGCGCTGTTGGAAGACGCGTCTGCAAGGCTCTCAGGTGGGGTAGTGGCGACAAACTCCAAAGCGAGAAGAAACATAAGGAGTAGCGCTAGTGATGGATCATGGACCCCCACTAAGACATCCATCCTTTCCATGCAAGCCCTTTGATGCGGCCACGACATTGCCTCGTCGGATGGGGCGCGTTGGGAGGACTGGGCGGCAGCCTGATGAAAAGAAACCAGTAGGACAATGCTTACATCAGTTCGGTAGCCTCAAGATATCTCAAGGTCACGGCGGCTGTATCTTTCATGGGAGAAGTCATAGATTGCACAGCCTGCGTCTCACCCTGCTTCGATCCACGATGATCTCATCCACGACGCGCAAAGCGAAAGAATGCGGCCCATTAGGAGGGTCCGTCATTTTCGTTATGCTCGATCGTCATTAGCAACTGCAGGAGAAGCAGCACAAAGTCATCATGAAAGAAACCACATCGTCATCATCAACACCATCCTGACCAGCCGGCCTCCCCAACGTCTTCGCGCACTGCTGATTTGGTCTCTGCATGTCTCTACTCAGATCTGGAACTTGCGCCCAAACCTGAACCAGAACTAGGAACTACGCGGCACCCCAACAGACCCAAACAGCAACCCCCATAAACTCGAGAATGCCCGGCCCCATGGGGTGGTCTCTGGCGATGCGCAAGCGGTCTTTGGACCTGCACAGGTCAAGAGGAGATGTCTTGAGCCTTGGCGATTGGGGTCTTCTGATTTGACACATTCCGGCGGCTAGACGGTGCTCGCCTCGACCACCGTTGGACCGCGCTGTGAGATTCCGCAGCCCATCCTCTTCCTTCCATTAGAACGGGTGGTTTTGGGCCACAAGAGGCAGGGAGAGTCAGAATTTTGCGTTTGGGAGCTCACTTGATTTGTGAGATTTTGGGGATGGGCAGTTTGGGTCTGGTCGCAGGGCGGAGGGCTCTGCTTGCAAGTCCAAGGATGAAGGTCTCTCTCGATTGCTCTTGGTGCTATAAGCACCGTCATGAACATGACAATTACCATTATCCTTAGCTTTGTGCTTTGTCTTATCCTTGTCCGTGTCATTTTTGTCATCATCATTATCATTGGTGCTGCTATCGCAACTTGAACTTGTATCATGGGGTGCTTCAGGGAGATCGAACTCTAAAATTGCCCCTTCCCTTCACCTAGACGAACCCGCACCGCACTTAGGAGGTTGTCCAACGACCAATCGTCCCACCACTCGGACACAAACGCCCCACCCTCCCCCGGGCCTTCAACATTGGAATCTCTAAGATCCTGCTCGAGCCGAGATGCCACGGCCCACCACGTCGCTCAAGGTCGGGGAAAGGTCAGGGGCCTCATTACCATTCAACCTCCAAGCGGGCCCAAAGTTCCAAAACTTATGGGGGCCCCCCTGCACCAGCGAAAATTCCCATACTTTGCCGGCAGCAGGGCAGTCGCGGATGTCACCTCCTGTGAAACCTCGGCCAGCCCGAGCCTTCAAGCAAGGGCTAAGCCGCAAGCGAGAAGGCTCGAATGGCTAGAAGATGCCTGAACCCAGAGCCAAGGCCCAACCCTTCCAAGCTTTCAAGCTTTGAGAGCAGCCAAGAACTCAGTCTTCGTTGTTCTCAGCCTGGTCCAGACGCTCCTTAACCTCGTCTTGGACAGGCGTAAGTACAGTCTGAATGCTGCGCGACGGCTCCTGCGACTGAGCTCGATTCAGCTGTGCTAAAGTGCCGAGGCAGGCACGATGCTGTCGTCCATCAGATAGTACTTCCTGGCTTTGTTAGCTTTCGTAGCTAACGTTCCACCTGTTCTCTCTTGAGGCTTCGGGTAAACAGTCGCAGCTTCCCAATGGCGAGGCACACCAACGCTCCACAGCAAGCCCACACTTGGTCAACCCGGAATCGGCTGGGGCCGGCGCTGGACGAACTCCAAACTTTCAGACAGCCTCGTGTCCGATTCGAAGCACATGCACGATGGGCCCTTCCCAGGATTCGGCTTAGTTGCCATGGACCCCTAGACGAGAAACTCGAGACAATGATCCCAAAGGCCTACAACCCAAAGTTGTGCAACAGTCGCGGGTCTGGAACCCCTCAACCTACTGATCAGAAATCCCAAATACAAATCTGCCGCCCGTGGTCTCCGGGATCCGAACGAAACGAAGGAAAGCCCCCAGAACCGTAAAACCCTGCACCAAAAAACCTTGAACCCCCAAAGCCTAAACCCAAACAGTCCCCAAAGAACCCCAAGGACCCCGAGAGAGAGAGCATTCAGAGAAGACGGGAGCCGCACTCAACGACCAAGGGCACTCCGGGAGCTACAACCAGCTCCATAGCCTGGCGACGGTGTTACTACAAGGGTCCGGAGGGGTTACTATGAGGGTTACGATAGTTAAGGGGCTTGGGGTTTTACGGTTCAGGGTGTTGGGTGGATGTCTTAAAGGAACCCATCAGGGTTCAGCACCACTTTGTACCTTCACAGGGGATGGGCTTTAGAAGGGTTTCAATGCCTCTTAGGGAGTACAGAGGCTTTTGGATTTGCTTGAAGCTGGCGAGGTCCACAGTTTCACGACTCGAATAACTCAGGGCACCTTCTCCTCGGACAAGCCCTCCAGTTCTTTGCAGAGGGCCCGCAGGGAGTTGCCTTATTGAGTTCGGCTCGCGCACAGAACCAGAAGCTCCCCAAAGCTCGAGGCTCCAATGCTACACCGCTGACTCCCTTCATCCCCAGGGCGCGGGCCGTGCGCACAAACCAGCGGCGTCCTCCCGGCCTGCACCTGCTGCGCACCAGAAACCTCTTGAAATGTCTTGATGCCGGACTCTTCAACCCGCTGAGATTTCTGCCGCTTTCTGAAACCACACAAAAACCAGTTGTACGCAGATGCGAGGGACCTTTTGGACCTCAACCGTTTTTGTCCAAACGATGCTCCACCGTCTGCCACCAGGCTTGCCACACTCAAGAAGTTTTGGAAAAAAACTCCACCAGTTCTTGACACTGCAATCGTCCGCCATCCGGAGACGCGCGGACAGGAAGCCCTGCAACACAACAAACGAGCAGAGAATCAAATTTTCGTGCTCAGATATGACCGGACGTCGTCCGCAGGATCCGCCAAAATGGTTCATGCGAATCTACGTGACAGAACATGGGTTGCTGGAAAGATTCAGTACGGCGTTTGATTTCTTTTGGCAACTGAACTGAGAAAGCCAGTCGCACGAATATGTTTGCAATTGAGGCACGTGGGGAATGGGACGATGCAGATTGTCCGTCCGCTACTTATGATTACAGGGCTTGCAGCTCGCTGCATGACTGCAGCTGTCTGAGTCTTTGAGCCACGTGAAGTATGTATTTACTCCAGGGAAGCAAGTAAACATCATCCGTGGACGATCCTACCCTGAACTTGCCGGCGTTGCACAAGGAGCGATTTGATCGTGCCAAAAAGGCAGGACACGGTCGACCTGGGCACGGCTCAAAGGCGGCGCAGCGACAAGACCAGAGTTGAGCCCCTTGGATAAAGAGGTGAAAGGCCCCGCTGAGGATCCAGCCGTCATTCGCACGGATTCTGCACCTGACACACGGATCGGAAGAGACATGTCTCTGCATGGATAGAAGATGTAATCCACTAGAAACGGAATCTGCGCAGTCCTCTCCAAGGAAGCTCTCGTAATGACAGGCGGCCTGGTAGTGCATCTTTTGGCACCGTCTCGTACAGGGTGTCGTTTGCAGGATGCCTGGCGCCACATTCAACTCAGCGATCGGGAAACACGTCTTTACCAGCTCACGTAGGGAAGGCCTCAGACCCACAAGATCACGCTCGAAGCTCGAGACGCCACTAAATCTCACAACGCTCTCTTGAGCTTCATGACCTCACATCAAGCCCTGAAGCCCTGAAGCCCTGGCCCTGGCCCTGGCCCGCCTCTCGTCCTCCAAATCCACGGCCGGTGGCATGCCGTCGTAGGTCTTGAGCCACGAGTCAACCTGGCGAGTCTGTAGACTAAGCCCGCACATGCAACAGCCTATACTCAGGCAGGGCAAGGAAGCACGACTTGAATCTAGGCCCAGCAACAGTTTACATCGCGAGCGAACATCAGCATGCTGCGGCCTTCTCGAAGGTATGTTGCCACGAGGAGTTCGTGCGGCCCATTCCTATCAACGTACCTGGCTTGACACAGAGCTCGGTGTTCCTTCAAATCTGCATGAGGTGATGGCACGACGGCCGGCTTTTCTTGGTGGTGGCAGGTCCTGGCTGCTTTCAGCACCGACCTTTTGCCAGACTCACTCCTCGGTGTCAGATGAAGATCTTTCTCGATGATACATGTTCTTGCACCCTGCTCGCGGAGCCTCTCTGCAGAACAGCCTCACGCCTTGAGGGGGTCTGCGGCTTGTCGCTCCACAGGGTTCAATAGCCGCCGCCGAGGGCGTGATGAGGAGGTATCCATAGCGCACGCAGCCAACACCGACTGAACAATCGCATGCCCTTCTAAGCTCAGCCCTCAGGCTTTCGCTCTCCAAAGTCCGTCCGTGCGTCCCGTACCATGTCGCCTGGTGTATGGCTCTCGAAGTCGAGGTCATGCCGGTACGGGGTAGCAGAGCTGCTGCGTCGAGTCTGGCATCTGCCAGACAAAACCGTGTAACCATTCTGCCAGACTGTGCTGTTAGACATTGAGGCCAAAGATTAGCTGGATGATTTGGAGCTTCTTCGAGAACTTGTCCAATAGCTCTGCGGCGAGGTCATCCGTTGACCAGCGCTCTAGGAGGGCTTGCTTGAACAGTGAACAGTCGCAAACATCAGGACCGAATCTGCAGCTTGCACTGGCGGCCGACTGTTCCTACAGTTGCGGCCGGAGGCGGCACAGGACGCCCCGTCCAGAGACTGCGAAACGGCTCAGCTACTCCATGTCATCCACATCTTCGGAGACTGGAGACCAGAGCCTGTTTCAGGGCATCCACACGGACGTACAACACCGGTTTTAGGGTAGTGCGAATTTGGGTTTCGGAGTTTAGGAACAATTTCAGGGGCTCAGACAAGGCCTGGACTGGACCCAACTGGACCGCTCGTTGTGGGAGTTGCCGGGCTGCTGCGCGCGCTGCGCCCGCGGCACTGGCAGCAGAGGCTGCGCCAGTGGACCACCTGGAAAGAAACGAAGAAATCACGATTTGAACCTGAGGCGATGTTTGGGGGAAAGGCAAGCAGGAACGCCCGTGGCGACGAGCACAATCGCAGTGCTAGCGTGCTTCTTGCAAGGAAGCTTCTGAGAGCAGGCAGCTCAAGCCGAGGTTGATCGACACCTTTCCAAGTCTCGCGCGGCTACGGCTCTTGCAACCCCAAACTCAACCGAAACTCCCGAAACTTGCCCCGAAACCCCTGAGCTACCCCAGAAGATAGTTGGCTTCCCCGCAGCCCGGTGCAGTGGGTCTTGTGACAGGGAAGGCACGTCTGCTCTTCGGTACTAACCGTTACTAACCTAATATCTGCCTTTGTGGACCTGGGACACCCAGGTTCTGCGACGGAGATGAAACAATTCGTCGGAGTTCAGGCAACCAAGAAGACCTCATGCAAAATAGTTTCGGCACACATTGGCGGGAGGGGAAATGGTACAGCAGCTGTGGAACGCAAGACAGAGACTAACGTCATGCAATGCTCCTTCCAACTTCAACCGTCCGCGGCCTTCGACGTGCTGCCGATCCCACTGCTGGGAGGGACTGCCGAGACAAGTCAAGCAGGACTTCACTGCTAAGACCTCATAGTTTAAAAGTTCAGCCAGTAGTCTGAAAAGCATATGGCACTGCAGAACATACAAGGGAATTCTGAGACCTTCGCGTGACATGGAAAGGCTGCAGGAGTCAGGTTTCGGGCCCTAGCAGGTCACAAATATAAACTTCTCCGAGGACAAAGCTACAAACAGAACAGCTCAACAAAGGTGAGTCTTCCTCGACTGGGAGAGCTGAAGGAAGCCCGGAAACCAAGGCTACCAAAACGAACCCCTGAAAAGATCTTAAAACACACGCCAGCACCATCATAAATCTGCGGACGAATACTTTCACGCGAGCAATGCCTCGCCCCGGAGAACGCCGAGACCTGAGGACGCCGGAACCCACAGCCAGGAGGAGTGCTCCCAAGTTTGAAGTTAAGGGTCTGGGGTTTAGGATGGGGGTTTCGGGGCACAGAGTTAGGTCCCACAGCTCGGATCTTCTTCCAAAGATCACTTGAATCTCTTGCCAGCAGGGCGGCGGAATCGAGGAACTCCAGGGCTTGGAGGTCCTGGCTGTGAGTCTTTGGACTTCGACGGGTTTAGGCTGTTCTCTCTTTTCGGGCTGCCGTGGCCAAGACTCGGGGGGTGAACGTGAAAGCGGTTCGACAAGAAGTCGCACCCATTTAACACGAAAACGTTGGACATGGAATCCTGCTTCTAGCAATGGCTGAACACAGGACAGGTCCTGATCATCTGGCAACATCAACATCGCATTGAAGGCCATCTCCTAGATCGGGAGAAATTCGGCTTGGTGCAACATGTGTTGTCAGAACCTGCCACTGCCGCTGCAACCAATATCAAGCAACCCTTGCATTCTATGCCGACGGCTTCTGCGTTGCTCCAAAAATGCAGGATGTTGTTCGGAATCAATACAGCTCCTACAGCGACTCTAGCCCTCCGCAAGCCTCGCATAGAACAGCAAACGCACCGGAAATTCATTCCCTCCAGCCTTGGCCACTTGCAGTCGCCTCAGCTAGGCAAACTGAGTCGGGGCGACCACTGTGAGCGATGCCAAGATTTGTCCAAATTACCCACAAATCCCATACGACCGCGAAGCAAGGAAAGAAACGAAGACATTTGGCAATAAAAGAACAAAGAAAAACTTCTGTGGAATGCTGCGCCGCCAGGCCCGCAGCACCGCGCGCGCCGTCAGGGCATGAAGGCACTCCAGATGCCGCAGAACCTGGGTCTCTAGGTTTGGGGCTCTGCAGGCTCGCGCACAGATTCGTCAGCAAAACCGATGTGCAAGCAATCACGGATATCCGAAACCCACTCCACCTGCAGATTCTCCAGCTTGCTCCAGTCTTCCTTGCCCAGACCTTCGTGGAAGGGACTTGTCATGAGGCTGCAGTAGGGCTGCCATGCAGACATCGCAATCGAGTTTGTTCACCCAAGGTTATGACACATGCGCTTGATGGGTGATGCATGTACTTGGGAGGCGAACGATGAGCACTTGAAACGATCTGCAATAGGGAACACTTCATGGCCGGAGGGCCCACACTTCAGTGACCAGGAAACTTGCACGTTCTAGCAGGCATTTTACGACACCGAGCAAGATGTGTTGGTCTCGAAGCGTTTCGACTGCTCAAAAACTGTGTTGCGACTTTGCCCTTCTTCCTTCCGGTTGTCTGTGGGTGCTGGATCAAAAAGTTGTTCAGGATCAAAAAAGTTTCATCACCCGCGGATCAACTGCAAATTGTTTTGGACCAAAACAATACATGCCTCATTCTGGCTGTGACCATCAGGCGACGGATCCTGTCGGAACTCTAGAAATGCTCGGTCATTGGCCGAATCGAAGTAGCATAACCCTGAAAAATCGGAAGCTTGCACGCTCTGGTCTGCTTCATCAGACATGCCGGCATCATCTGGAAGTACTATAGGAGACAAGCCCTCCCCTCCTCCTCCTCCTCCTCCAGACAAGCCCAATCTGCAAGGAGCTGCGCCGGGCCTTGGCGCCCCCGTGGAACTTGCCTCTGAAACGCAAGTGCATGAAGTTGCCTATTCTCCGGGCTGACGTCAAGCGCTTCTGGGTGGCGGTGCTGGCACAGATTTTATGCTGGGACTTTCAGAAGGGGCGGAAGACTCAGGGGTCGCAGTAGCAGAGGCCTGAGTGGTCGGACGGCACTGCAGACTGCGACATGTCGCAATCACTTTGCACGATGGGAGGCTGCGACGGCACACTGTCGGGGCTGCCTGTAGAAGGGTACCAAACTGGAACACACAAAGAAGGGGAGGAAGGTGCTGCGTCCGGCTGCTGCGTGCGACCTGTTCTGAGGTTTGCTTCGCGAGACATGGAAGACCATGGCGAGTCTGGAACCGTCCTGGCTACGCTAGGCGAAGACGGGGCAGGGGAAGAGAGTCGCGCACGCAACGCTGGGGAAGGAACATCACTGACAGGACCGCGTTGGGCCAGCATGTGGCCCGCACTGCCTCGGATCAGCGCCCACTGTTGGCCATTCGTCTTGGGAAAAAGTGGTTTTAAACTTGAATAGTAGGGGCCATGGTAATATGAATGAGCCTTTCAAAATGGCCGGGGTTGGTGGGACCTGCAGGCTCCGTGTAGAGTGCACACGGAGCGGAGCAAAGAAGCAAGGGCGATGCGAGCACATTCAGCAAGGAACGACAGGTCGGTGGTGTGCATGGAAGCGAAGGAGACACAGGGTGGGCATGTGGAGAACTAGCAAGCCGTGTGGAAAACTCGTGGGCCAGGCTTCCACGGCTGCTCGCACGTGCCACTCCTGCGTCAGGCTTCCTTGAAGCAAGTTGCCCACAATCACCCGGCCTGGGCTGGGCTCGGTCCTCACACGCAGCAGCTCAAGAATCTCTTGTGTTTTGGCTGTTGATGCGGGCATGAAAGGCGGATTGAGGATGAGACTGCCAGGCGCAGGTCCAAGGAGCAAGCGAGCTGCACGGTTGACGGCATGCGCACCTGCGGCGGCACATGGCAGTAACGCGAGCTCGTCGATCTTGCCACGAGGAAACGGTCATGACTGCGCAAATTGCATCGGACAATCTGAAGTCTTGAAGCAGCGCACCCACGCGAAGAAGTTTCCGGCGCCACTTCCTTGTGGCGCGACCCCAACAGTAGCGGTCGCCTGCAAGCTGCAGCTAGCACTCTTTGGCACGTGCATGGACCCAGGTGCATTTTCCTGAAAGCACGCCACCAAGAACTGTGTAGGTACAGCCCAGCGCCACTTGCCTGCAGAGCGATGTGTGGCAGGAGTCGAGCTTGGCATGCCGCTTTGGGCGTTGCCTCTCTGGCTCCGTTCAAGCAGGGGCTACTGGTGACGTCCTGTCATCGCGCGAGCTCACAGCAGAAACGCTGAACGCCCGAGGCACGTCCTGGTGGCCGCTGCGGCCTGTCAGTGTAGACAACGCGGAAAAGGGCACGTATAGACTGCTAAAGAATCTAAGTACTTTCGCTTGAGGTTGCGACATCCAGGACTGGACATGTAGAAACTGGATTCCGGCGCATTGCCTAGAGCTGGCCATGGGGAGACGTTACGGCTAAGTGAAATAAAGAAAAGATATCAGAGGACCTTTGCCTTCACAGCTTCATCCAGCAACTGCTCGTCGGTAATAGTAAGAAAAATAGTAAAAGTAATAGTAATGCACATAGTCGTAGAAATAGTCATCTTAATAGTCGTAGTCATAGTAGTACTAGTAGTAGTAGTAGTACTAATAACAGTAGCAGCAGCGGCAGGAGTAGTAGTAGTAGTAGCAGCAGCAGTAGTAGTAGTAGTAGTAGCAGCAGGGATAGTAGTAGTAGTAGTAGTAGTAGTAGTAGTAGCAGCAGTAATAGCAGTAGCAGTAGCAGTAGCAGTAGCAGTAGCAGTAGTAGTAGTAGTAGTAGTAGTAGTAGCAGTAGTAGTAGTACTGGTAGTAGTAGTAGTAGTAGTAGTAGTCGTAGTCGTACTCGTAG